TAAACTCACAGCCACATGACTCACTATAAGGTTCTTATATATTTTGCTAGTGTCGCTTGTCATAATAATGCACTAGTTACATTAAATAAATTTCTTTTCAAGTGGTTTTTTTTTTCATTCTTTTTTATATATTATTAGTTTTATAACATGTTTCAGGTTATCTACAAACAGTTTAAATGTAACATTGTCTGAGTGAATATGATATATAAATTTCTATACATCAGAATAATGCTGAGTCATTGAATGACAAAATGAAAACATCTACATTTCATCCTTTAATCAAATTTGATTGATTTTTTAAAAATTTCTTATGATTTATGAAAACTTTATAGTTATTTGTTTGTTTCTTTTTAATCTCATTTCACCCCAAGCAAGGCAGTAAAGCCACTAAGACACAAGGGGTTACTGAGTGTAGAAGTATTAAAAAACAGAAACATTACTAAGGAGCAAGAATAAAAGAAGAGTAATCAAGGGGACAGTAGATAGCGATTGACATTGCTTTTAAATTTTTGAAGATTAAAGTTGGCTGGAAAACATGGAGCCAAAAGGGAGTTCCACAAGTGAGAAGTATGAGAAAAGTAACTGTTAGCATAGAATTTATGGCTATATCTAGTCAGCTCAAATGTAAATTGATTAGGTCTTGATACCAGTCAAGTACTGTGCTTAAATTCAAAAAGTCTAGGTACCATAGCAAAGAGCTCATCTGAACAATTACCATGAAAGTGTTTATAGAAAAGGCACAGGGAGATAACCTTATGGTGGTGAGAAAATGATTGAAGCCAAGCTGCCAGATCAGGACTGATAATATTACTGATTCTTCTTTGGATTTTATCAAGGAAAGCCAAAACATAATTCTGACTATAGGAGGTTGCTTACAGTACCTGATGTTCACAAGTGGCCTCTGTCTAAGTACAGACCATGTTTAATGCTGCTTAATTTTGCTGATTGACCAAAAAGTAGTGTTTTAACCAGAGGCTTTTTTTGAAAGGACTTCACCAATGTAGAATAATTTTCTTCTTGATGTAATTATATATCTGTCTATATTTCTGAGATGAGTTATAACTATTTACACTATTTACATTGTTCAGGCTACTGTCCTCATCTTTATTGTCATATTCATGACTTTTCAGCCTTCTTCATGTGATATATGTTGGAATTTCATACCAAACCTTCTATTTAGCTCAAGGGGTAGATATCTCAGTTACAGTTAATTCCCTTCAGTAACTCAACTCTCCAAATTTTCATTCCCTCTGCTGTTTCCAAGTATTGAATTTACAACTCTTTGGGTCAAATCACATGTCCCTATGGATAAAAGCATTGGTTGAGTAATCCAAAAAGTGACTTGACTCAAAGAGTTGTGAGTTCAATACCTGGCTACAGCAGAGGGAACAAAAACTTAAAGAACTTAATTATTAAAGGGAATTAACTGAAACTGAGATATCCAAAAAAGGGCATGGCATGTGGAATTAGAACAATCTACCCACCATGGGCTAAATAAAGGGTCTAGTTTAAAATTCCAATTTATTTCACCTGAAGAAAGCCAGTGTACAATGGCCGAAACATCATGAATATGGCAAGACAATAATGAAGATATGTAAATAGTATAAATAGGAATTATATATACTTAAGGAAAGGAGAGAAATATAATATAATTATAATCAATGTTTTTGTTTATAAAAATCTCCCCAGCCTCTACATATATATATATATATATATGAAAAGTGTATATAAATATAAATAAATATATATATGTATAATTATTTATATATTATATGCCCTGATATTTATTAGAAAGCGCTCAATATCAGAGATAGAGCTAACATATTTAGTTGAATAGATGAGTTTGTCTGACAATCGCTAAAGCGTGAAACCCAGGGTCACAAACTCACATCTATCTATATATATATATATAAATATATATATATATATATATATATATATATATATATGTATGTATGTATGTATGTAATTCCATCAATAGAAACATTACTTTTATCAGATGAATTCCTAGAGGATTAAATACATTACATAGAATTTTTTTCTATTTTGTCATTCAATTATGTAGCATTGTCTATAGCTTACTGCTATACTGTACTATTAAACAGTTAAAGATATTTTATTATTACAATCTTTTGATCTGCTAAATTTACTTAATGATAAACACACAGACTACTACTTTACCAAATGCCAAAGAATTCCTTTGAGTATATTCATTAGTGTCTTTCTTCAAGGTAATTCTTCTTTTCATGTCTTTGAGTCGTCATTAGAGGATTTCTCTTAGTAATGACACACATTCTTTTCCATGCAATGCACCACAGATTTCACAAGATCTTTATTAGTGCAAAGGTCAATTCGTTGCAGGCAATTTAGAAGATGCAACATTGTTTAGGATTTGCTGTAGTATTCACATCTTCAACCTCCATTTGTAAATCTTCATGTTTTCTCATTGCATTATTTGAACTACCTCCTCTTGTGGGAAGTTAGTCTACCCAGGGAATGACTGAGCATATGTTTGAGAATAATGATTAATAAGCTAGTGCTGTGAGTTCAATCTTCACTGTGTCCCTGCACTGTTTACTAGACTAAGTTAAACTTAGTATTGCCACTGGAAATTCAAAGGAAGATCTAAAATTTTAAGCAGGTGGAATGATGGCATTCAAATGAAAAATGGGAAGTCTATTTGGTAATTTTAACTTTTAAGGTTAATTTATGATTATTAGGGTTTATATTTATGAAATATCTTTATTTTCTTGTTTTTATTTTTATTTTTACAATGATGTTCACTTTGTACAAGGTCTAATTATCATTCAAGATAAAGGGTTACAGAGTAAGAGGTGCAGTTTATATGGATATGTGGGTAAGATAACAGTTGGCCCTAGACATAAAAAGGTTAAGATTGTAATCGTTGGAAGCATCCTCATAGGAGTTGGTTCCACAAAGCAGTGGTTCATGAGAAGCTGCTCAAGTGGAACTGACATCTCACCAAGGGAATGAGGGTGGTTCTTTACAGTGTGCATGCAATGGTGGGTTTTATCCATGAAGGTTAGAACCGGTGGAACTAAGGAATGTAGTTCGTCTGAAGACTTTCCATGGAAATACTGACAAAGCAGTGCGAGGCTTGCAACATTTTGTCTGTGGGAAAGTGGTTGTAGATTGAAAAATAATTCATCACCCATAAGGACACAGAGATGTTTGTGGACTCTATCAAGACTGGAAAGTGAAGACTGGGCAGCTCCAGCCCATATATGACAGCAGTACTCCATTTTCGGCCTGATCTGGCTCTTGTCAGAATGGAGGATAACAGGAGGAGCCAGCTACTTACAGAGCAATGCAAGAAACTGATAATTTTTCCAGCATCTTTAGTGATAGATCATATCTACTACAAGTTCCACTTGAGGTCTGGGTTGAATTTAAGTCCCAGTAGGAGCTCAAGGCCTCCATGAGGAAACATCTGTTCATCACAATCGGTGAAAAGTCCACTTGTTTATCTAGATATTTAAAAAACAATTGTACTTTGCTTAAATAGGAAGAAAGATTTGGATCCCGCTACTGGGTTCATCCTTAAGAATGCTTTAAGGTAGGCATGCACAAGTGCAAAATGTTAAGGGCCACATTACTCACAAATGATTAGTCATGGGCTACAATAGTAAATTTTTAGAATAAAATTACTGAGTGATAAAAATAGTCCAAACAAAAGGATTTTGCATTATTTTTAATAATAGTTAATCAAGTGTTGATCATTTTTTATTTATTTTTATTATCATTTCACCCCATGCAAGGTGATAATGCCACTAGGACGCAATGGTTTACTGGGAGTGAAAAAGAAAGAATAAAAGAATAGGATTCAGAAAGACAGAAGATGGTGATTGGCATTATATTTAATTCTTTGAAGATTGTAGCATGGCATTTATTTTTCATTTTTGGATAAGAAAGATCTATAATGAGTTCTCCATAGTTTGTCACATGCTTCCTTAGGTGATATTTTTTTTATCTATTTCAACATTTATTATAATTCATCATTGGTTAAATAAAGTCTTGATTCCAGAAAACTGAATTTTTTGTATCTGATCAATCACTGAATATATTCTGATGAACACAAAATGTTTACTATTTAAAAACCCCTTAATAGCCACACTTGGTAGTCTTGCAGGTCACATGTAGCCCACAGGCTGTATTTTGTGTACGTCTGCTTTAAGATGTAAAATATTTCATAATTTTTTTTATGGGGATAAAAATAGATTGCTTTAATAAGATTTTTCTCTCTAAAATATAAATGGCATTTTCTTTAATATCTGGAAGGTCTATTTTTCTCTTTTTCTTTAATTTAGCACAGACAGTGCATTTAGTTAAAACCATTGTTAACCTGATCCTGTTTACTAGATTTTCAAAGCTAGTATTCCCGTATTGGTTTTAAATCTTGTTAAATACTTCAGTTATGTGCTATACGGGATACATGCTTAGGCGATCATGTATCTTTTGATACATGACTGACAAGGCAGACTTTTTCCCGCAGTAGGTTGCCATTTCTTTCTGCGGTAGACCAGTTGCCATCCAAAGCTACAGAACCCGTCTGTCCTGCTATTTACCCATAGCTGGAGGGAGAAGAAGAGAAGCCATACTTTTCCCAAGGGTATTAGCATGTAAGTGAATGTAATGGATTCAACTGGAATTCGAACTTGGCTCTCCGATTCCTCAATCCGAGCCACTATTCATTTCTCCACAGTGCCTCCCCTTGTTAAATAACAGGTATTAAAACTAATTGATTATTTGTTACGGCTTAAAGCCAGAAAATATTTTAAGATTGTAATAATTTTGAGAAAATAATGATTTACAGATACACGTTTTACTAATTAATCCATATCTGGGGAGAAAGGTGAATTCATACCTTTTCTAATGATATTTGCCCATAAGTGATTATTGTAAACCTAACTGGAATTGTAATTCGGCTCTCTGATTTCTAATTTCAAGCCATTGTCCATTACACCATCTGCACATCCAAGCTTACAGTACCTAGTATTCCTAAGTGGTCACCCATCTAAGTACTGACCAGGCTCAACATTGCTTAACTTTGGTGATCATATCAGAACCAGGGTTTTAATGTAGTATGTTTATAAGCTGTCAATATCTTTTAAGTTATTAGTTTTATTTCCATATATATTCTAAAACACTAATAGCAAAACTTTCCTCATAAAAATTATTCTATGCTAAAGAAAAAAATATTAAAATAAAAAATTAAATTAAAAGTTTCATTTTTTTTTTTTATTAAAAGAACAATTTTTCTCAAATAGTTTTAAGGAGACAAACATTTCTAACCATGTAATTTGCTTGGTACACTATATTTAGAATAAAATTTGTAGAGCTATTTTATCTCCTAAAATCTGAAAATATTTTTCTTGGCACTGTAAAAATAATAAGTACATACTTATGATTTAATAACAACATAAGCATTTAGTAAACCCACAAGTATTTTTTTTAAAGATTTAGTAATTTAAAACAAAGAAAGGTTTTTAGATACTGTTGTAGTCATCGGCACCAGCTCGTCATCCTCTCCCCCTATACCCTTTCTCTCCCTTGGTTAGCAATTATGGAGATGGCTGTGAATCAAAGAGAGTTTGATGAGGCCATTCGCATGAATTTGATTTTGGTGGACAACTCCATGCTAGAAGCATCTCCCTCGCAGCTCAAAGGTGATTGAAACAGATGAGATCTGGGAAACCTGGTTGAATCAGGCTGTTGGATGCTTGGTCTCTCAAGGTTTGCCTTGGTTATGCTAACCCGACTAGGGCTTCCCTCTTCCACCAGTTTGGTCACCGAGATCATGTAGATCTTTGCCTATTCTGTTGCTGGGGTCTTCGGGGGTTGATCAGTCTGGTCTCTCCTCCATGACTTTACCCCCATGGGTGGCCCTACAGGAGTTGGAACTCCAGATGATTTTACTCTTGAGATCACAAGGGCACTCAAGTTTTCTATCATGACAATGAATGACCATATATATATTTTACACTAGATATCAGAGTGAACATTATCAAATGTACCACTTTGACCTGTTACTTTAATGACAATAATTGAAATTAATCAACTCATCCTTTCTTCTATCACTCCTATCTGATCTTGCTCTAAACTTTCTGTAACCCCTTGCATCCTAGTGGCTTCCCACCTTGCTTGGGGTAAAATGCTTAAAAAAAAAATATATATATATTTAAATGGCAAGTCTATTTAAACTCAATAACATCATTTTATGACAGGAAATTTATAGCTAAAAATGTTTTGGATTTGATAACTGGATATTATTACAATCAAGAAAAAAATTACATTTTTCTATTACATATATATTAATATATTATTATATATTAATAAATTATTATATATTATTATAATATATGATTATATTTTAGGGTGAAAACGATGACAAAGTGGATAAATTTTTTTGTGATGCATTTCATCCTTATTAATTTTAATATTAATTATATATATATATATATATATATATATATATATATATTATAAATATATTTTAATATATAATATAATAATATATTAATAATATCTTAATATAAAATAATATATTAAAATAGTATATAATAATTATCTTAATATATAATATAATAATATATTATAATGTATCAATATAATAATATATTCATATAATGATATAATACATTATTATTATAATTATCATAATAATAATTATATACTAATATATTATTATATATTATTATGATATATTATTAAATATTATTATTATCAAGAAAAAATAACGTTTTTTTATGAACTGATGAAGATTTTTCTACCTTAATTGAGAAGAAATGAATTAAAGAGTTTTATGAAATATAAAGAATAAAGGCAAGACACTGGATTTCTTTCTTTTTTTTCATTTTCCTTTTCTTTTTTTTTAATTAATTTTTGCCAGAAGTGACAACAAACTGTTGGTCAAAATTTTGTTTTTCATTTCCTAAAATAATGTTGGGCTTGTAAGTTAAATAAAATGTTAACATGGAACTCCAGCTCCTAAAAGCAACTGAGAAATAATTTCTTTTACTTCTTTTTGAATTTTTTTCTAAATTACCTGATTTAAGTTTTTTTTTTTTTTCTGTTTAATCTACTACATCAAAATGTTGGGCTTGTGGCATAGATGGATAAATATCCTCACACTACAGAGCGTCAAGAAAAAAAAAAAAAAAGAAACAAGAAATATCTAAAAAAATTAAAAAAAAAAAAGGAAACAAAAATATTTTTAAAAAAAGAAACAAGAAATATTTAAAAAAAAGAAACAAGAAATATTTTAAAAAAAGAAACAAGAAATATTTTAAAAAAAGAAACAAGAAATATTTAAGAAGGAAAGGGAGAAATATTTAAAAGAAAAAAAGGAACAAGAAATATTTTTTAAAAAAAAAAGAAAAAAAAGAAGCAAGAAATATTTTAAAAAATAACAAATATTTAAAAGAAAAAAAAAGAAACAAGAAATATTTAAAAAGGAAAAGAAAAAAAGAAAGCCACAAA